GAAGATCCAGGACACACTGGAGGGACTATGTCTCTGGGCTGGCCTGGGAATGCCTCAGGGTCCTCCTGGAGAAGCTGGACGACATGTCTGGGGTGAAGGAAGTCTGTGAGTCTCTGTTTAGACTACTGCCCCCACAACCCGACCCCAGGTAGGTGGAAGAAAATGGATGAATTATCTAAATTGTGGCTAAATTCTGACGTCTACTGGCCTTCATCATCTCACCACACTCGTGTTATAAAGCTCCTCCTTTGGGAGCAGAGTCCAGGGGTTTGAACTCTCAAAGATCTCACTATGTTTACTTTTAAAATCATACTATGTTGACTTTTCTAGTCCCCCGGGCCAGATTATTGATGGTAAACAAACTTCTCCTGCTTTAGACGTTCAGTTTGTCTCCAGCCTTTTACTTCCACCTTTTCTTGGACAAGGTGAGGTGGTTTGGTTGGACAGAGCCTGTGATCTGTATTTATCATAATTTTACATCAACTCAGTGGAAGTTTGTGGACAAGAAAAGTACAAAAAGGAGGATGTGAGTAGGAAAACAGGATTCCTGAACAAAGAGACAATTTATGTAGATGTTTGTGAAGTGACTGGTGGAACCTGTCACATGTAATTTAAGTGACAGCAGCTAAGAGCGTTGTGTTTGTCCTCCCTCTCTCCTCCCTCTCCTTCATTTGCTCCCTCACTCCCTCACTCACTCACTCACTCAGTCATTCAGTCACTCACTCACTCACTCAGTCTGTCTCTCATCATGGGGGTGAACATACCAGGAGTGATTGCTATGGTGTTTTTCTACCTGCTGGTTCTCGGGACGGGCATCTGGGCTTCTTTCAAATCCAGAAGGGAACAGAAGAAAAATGCAGCGTCTGAAATCGAGATGACTCTCCTGGGGAACCGCACCATCGGCCTGGTGGTCGGCGTCTTCACCATGACGGGTCGGTTGGACACACTTCTTCATTTATGCTTCTTCTTTATTTCTGAGATTATTCACATTAAACATTCTCACTGAGGGTGAGAGGGTGAGTGAGAGGGTGAGTGAGAGGGTGAGGGGGGTGAGTGAGAGGGTGAGTGAGAGGGTGAGTGAGAGGGTGAGTGAGGTGAGTGAGAGGTGAGTGAGAGGGTGAGTGAGAGGGTGAGTGAGAGGTGAGGGGTGAGTGAGGGTGAGTGAGAGGGTGAGTGAGAGGGTGAGGGGGTGAGTGAGAGGGTGAGTGAGAGGGTGAGTGAGAGGGTGAGAGGGGGGGGAGTGAGAGGGTGAGTGAGAGAGGGTGAGTGGAGGGTGAGTGAGAGGGTGAGGGGGTGAGTGAGAGGGTGAGTGAGAGGTGAGTGAGAGGTGAGTGAGGTGAGGGGGTGAGTGAGAGGGTGAGTGAGAGGGTGAGGGGGTGAGTGAGAGGGTGAGTGAGAGGGTGAGTGAGAGGGTGAGTGAGAGGGTGAGGGGTGAGTGAGAGGGTGAGGGGGGTGAGTGAGAGTGAGAGGGTGAGTGAGAGGGTGAGGGGGTGAGTGAGAGGGTGAGGGGGGTGAGTGAGAGGGTGAGTGAGGGTGAGGGGTGAGTGAGTGAGGGTGAGTGAGAGGGTTGAGGGGGTGAGTGAGAGGGGTGAGGGGGTGAGTGAGAGGGTGAGGGGTGAGTGAGAGGGTGAGTGAGAGGGTGAGTGAGAGGGGGTGAGGGGGTGAGTGAGAGGGTGAGGGGAGGTGAGTGAGAGGGTGAGGGGTGAGTGAGAGGGTGAGGGGGTGAGTGAGAGGGTGAGTGAGAGGTGAGGGGGGTGAGTGAGAGGTGGAGTGAGAGGGTGAGTGAGAGGGTGGAGGGGTGAGTGAGAGGGTGAGTGAGAGGTGAGAGAGAGTGAGAGGTGAGGAGGGTGAGTGAGAGGGTGAGTGAGAGGGTGAGGTGGAGTGAGTGAGAGGGTGAGTGAGAGGGTGAGAGAGTGAGGGGGTGAGTGAGAGGGTGAGAGGGTGAGTGAGAGGGTGAGTGAGAGGGTGAGAGGGTGAGTGAGAGGGTGAGTGAGGGGCGTTCCTGAGTGACAGTGAATTCTGGAGGTTCTGATCTTCACATGGAAACGCAGGACTCTGTCTGCAGGTGAATGTTCTGGGGTCAGATGTGATTGTTCCTTTTTTTTTTAAAGCAGGACACATACAGTTCCTTTAAAGCAAGTGACAATCTATCATGTGTACAATCAAAATGACACATGTACCTAGAAAATGCTTCTAGGAACGAAATTTTGACAAACTGAAATATAAAAAGCACCACTAGAGGGCGTCGGGGCAACAGGGATCTGCTGCACTGACAAAGAGAACGTTACAGGGCCCATCTCATGCAAAATCAACTTTTCAGATCTTTCTACCTTCTCAGAGTGATGTGTGGATCTTGTATTTGTCGCTGAAGTGAGTGTGCAGTGCAGTGTATTTGAAAACAGCTGCTCTGACCCTCCCACAATGACACAACCAACAAAAGCTGCTAAGTGCAAAACTTTCCTGTCCATGATGCTGCATGTGCTCCTCGGACTTCCTGGCAAGGGCGTCCTAGCCTGTCACGTTTCGGAGCCGTGTTTGACGTTGGTCGGAGCTTTTCAGCTGGATGAAAACCCAAACTTCAAACATCAGATGGACGTTTAAGGTGTGTGTGTGTGTGTGGGGGGGGGGGGGTCAGGAAGTATAAGGAACAGCGTAGGTCTGTAGGTCTGAGTTAACCTTGAACAGCAAGATGAATTCTGGTGATATTTGTGAGTTCACAAACTCAGATGAATCCATCTTGGCGCTACAGGTGTCCACACTTCAAACTCCGCCTCTACAGCAGCTCTGAGAGTCTAACACTGACGAGCAAACAGAAGGATATGTTTCTGAAATGTTTCCAGATCTGCTGTGGATCTAATGAAGTTCAGAATAAGTTCCAACATTTGCTCTGTGCAAACTGCAAAGTGTGTTTAGATCCTTAAAGCTCTAAATGCACTTTTAAGACTTCAACTAAACTGAACAAACAAAACATCACCTTTTGTTTTCCCACAGCCACGTGGGTTGGAGGAGGCTTCATCGTGGGCACAACGGAGATGGTGTACACCCCGTCTATGGGTCTGACCTCGGCCCTCCTGATGTTAACCTCCTACTCTGTCTCATTTCTGCTCTGTAAGTATTCAAGTCATTTTACTCTTGTAAATCTGTAAACTCAAAACAGTGAGTGCAGGAGACTCTTATCTTTAGTGTCTTATACGAAGACTACAACATTAATGCTTCAGAAATGAATTGCGATATAAAACACTGATGTGTTGATGTAATTTACACCAGAGTAAAGGAAATGACTTCTGTTCTGTCAAAAGATCCCACAGTCTGAGGTCCTTTAACTAATTAATCTTCAGGGCTCCTAAATAATTGACTGATACTTATAAAGGTATTGGAAAAAGTGCCCACATTTTCACCTGTTTCTGTCGTCCTTTGTTTAGGTGGCTTTGTGTTTGCTAAACCTTTACGAGACCAAAAGTGCGTGACCATGATGGACCCTTTCCACAGGAAGTACAGCAAAGGCTTCACAGCTGTCATGTGTATAGTCTCTGTTTCTATGGACGTACTGTGGATGGCTTCAACTCTTATCGGTTTGGGTAAGACCCAATTCTCACCAAAAAGCTGATGTGCAAAAACAAACCTCTAGTTTCTCATGAAATACTAGAATTGTCTTTAAATGACTGAAACATCACATTCACACAGCGGCTTGACTCAAACTGTCTGCTCATCATCTGGGCTCATAATTCAGGCTTAAGTTTTGCTGTACCTTCAACAGGTGCTACCATCAGTGTGGTCCTGGACCTGTCCTACACTGTGAGCATCTGGATCTCTGCAGCTGTGGCCATCACCTACACTCTGATGGGAGGACTCTACTCTGTGGCCTACACCGACATCATCCAACTGACCCTTATCTTCTTAGGCCTGGTGAGACGTTCAACGTTTAACACCCTTTATTATTCTTTGTCCTTTTTCTTGCACTTTATCCAGGCGTCGCGGGAGTGTCAGTCTGAGCAGGGAGGACCAGACTTCCCTCTCCGCATACACTTCCTCCAGGTCTTCTGGGGGGATCCAAAGGTGTTCCATGGCCAGCTGAGAGACGCAGACCCTCCAGTGTGTCCTAATCTTTCCCAGGGCCTCCTCCACAGGGAGGTGTCCAGGAGTAAATCGGGAGCTCACTCAAAGTGTGTGACAGTAGAGCTGGACTCAAGCTGCACTGAGCCCTGGTCATGGTCTGTATGTGTAAGTGGACATAGCTCACCTGCTGCCATCCAAACAGGAAGTGAGCATAGGTGTTCCCTGGTGGGAAGGGATGAGTTCCCTCAACAGCCTTTCTCCTGACTGGCTCTTTTGTTATTATGAAACGTTCACTCGGATTTACAAATATAGAATTTTGCTCCAAATTAGCGGCTAATCTACTGACCTCAACTGGCCGGAGTCCAACAGTGTGACTTCCCTCAGTCCACTCTTATATACAGGCTACGATCGGTTCAGATAGAGCCTCACAGACCTTTGAGGCCTATTACAAATTTTTTTGTGTAGGAATTGTGCTCGACAAATGAACTTGCCTCACCTACAAGAAAGGAGACAAGAATGGTGCCTACTGTAATCTAAAGAAAAGTGTTTTTCTTTGTCTGTCAACATAATACTGTATAAATGGCAACCGAAGACAAGTGTTGATTTAAAGTATCGGAAAGAAAGATTCTCGTGTCGATTAATGTTCTTGAACTATAAAGAAGACGATAATAAAGACCAAGTTTGTGGGCAACTTAAACAAAAAATGTTTGAAATGAAAGATGTAATATCTGCAAAGGGTAAAGGGAAGTGTAACGATGTAGTTCAAAAAATGATGATTTAAACATGATGCAGATGTGACTAGACTCTAATGTTGGACCCTTGTGTTTCAGGGGATCTGTGTTCCATTTGTGCTGATTAGTCCTCACTCTGTGAACATTGGTGAAACACTGATGAACAACACCCTGCACGCTCCCTGGATCGGTGCACCAAACCCAAAAAGAATCTGTGACTATAGGAAGTCTTCGGTTGTGAGTTTGATGCCGCTTTGGAGTCGCTCTTATGTCACTTCCTGTCTCGCCTACAGCAGCTTCTTCCTGTCCCTGACTTCACAAAGGTATGTTTATTCATTTAAATCTACAATTTATTTAAAAAGATGTTAACGTAAATTCTAGGATATGAAAAACATGAGTGTGACTGTTTCTGCAGGTCTCCTCCATGCTCCAGGATGATTGGCTCAAAGAGTGTTTACAGGAAGTGAAAAGTCAGCAACTGAAGGAGCTCCTGGCCAATCACAGCGCAGCACACAGTCCTCCCTGTCCTGGTGAGAATGAGAAACAATAATGTTGAAACTGAAGCAGGAGAACCCCCCTTTTTTTAAATTTGCAGTCTAAAGGCCTCCACACACTACAGGATTATTCAACCTTAAACGATTTTTAAACGTGCGACACAAAGCGCACACCACAGACACGAGGAGAATCTGATGAGATTTTAAATCTCCAATCTCAAAGGCAGCAGTGAGATCTGTCTGTGGACCACAGGATATAAAACTGTGAGCGCTGTTACCTTCCCTTTGCTCTGGAGAAGGAGAGCAACAATAAAACCCATGATGTTAAAGGTTTAACTAAAAATGGTTAATTTATTCATTCACAGTGTAGGAAAGAGAAGAAAAACACAAAAATGTGGTGAAATAAAGGGCTTTAAACAAAAATTAATTATTAAACTATAGAGCCCTAAACTAAGTACAACAAAAAAGGAACTTAACTAATGTTGTACTACGAATAACCAGTGTCTCAATCACAAATCAAATTACAACAGAAACAAAACAAACAGAATGGATGAGTCTTCACGCAGGTGTCCGGCCGCACCGAGCAGGTCCCTTTTACAGTCCACGCCCCTCAGGTGACCTCCGCGAAAGGGTGGGGACAGAAGGGTGCCTGGCCAGTCCGGCAAAGGATCAGATGCCCAGCCTCCGTCCAGCGGTCTTAACTCCCGCAAATCCGAGTCCAGGGCTCGCGGACCAGATTTACGTACACACACAGAAACAAAAGAAGCAAAGGGAGCACAGGATTAATAAATACCAAATAAGTAAGTAAGAAGCACTGTGATGGAGTCAGCTGTTTCCTATCTACAGTAAAAACCAGTCACTCTGAGACTCTTTTAAGTGTTCAAAGATCAGACTCTGCACTTCTAGTTTAGATCCAAGTCCAAACTGTGTTATTATTATTTGTGAAATGTGGAGCAAAATGTCAGATACAGGATTTTTAAAGCAGAAAAGATTGGAGATAAAGTGGTGGGGAAGTCGAGTCACTGTGGAGAATCTGCAGCTTCAGCTCGATCCGTGCGCTGCTCTGTGGATGTAAACAGACACACCTGACGAACCAAACTCACCTTTTTACTTTTAAACAACGACTCAAAAAACTGGACTCACAGCCCAGAGTTTTTGTGGACTGGGCTCATTATTTGCAGATGATAATTTCTATGGATACTGTGGATAATATTGAGGAGACTCTGTACTTTTCAAATTTACCACTTTACAGAGGTGAGGAGTAAAGTCTTTAATAATACAGTCTCATTATTTTTGCTATTTTCTGAGTTCGTATCTGTGTCCGTCTCTGCCCCTGACGCTCTGGTTTATCGGCTGTTACTGAAGCGTTTCGTTGTAATAATCGCCTACGAAGGGAGGGAGAAGAAATCGCAGCCAAAATCCTGCAATTTCTCCTGTAGTGTGTGGCAGCCTTAATTTAAAAAACCTGAGCTGCAACAAATATATAACTGAAGGAACCAATAATGAGCCATAGCAGTGATGTATTCCTCCCCCTACAGCTTATGATTGTACAGAAACATGTCTAAAATCACCCACTATCGCAACAAAAGCATACACACAATAAATACCGACCAACAAAAAGTATTATTGGTCCTGTTGAATTTGTGATTTGTTTTTGTGCAGTCCCAGAGTCCAAGTCTGAGGTTGTTCTTAAATCTGCCTGGCAACAGCTCCTGAGTTTACAGAAGATGAATGAAGAGTCCAAAACGATCAATAAGAAACAAGATCCTTTAAAACCTACAAATCAGATGCAAGATTTGACGAATCGGACCAATCAGAAGCCATTAGTGCCCAAACCTGTGCCTGCAACAGCCAATCAGACGGCAGTTGTCACGCTGCTGAACCAGAACCTGACCTTTCCCCTTCTACTCCAACAGACACCGTATTTCCTCTTCCCAACCAATCAGAGCTCTCTTTTGTCCAAAACGACCAATCAGAGCTCTCCTGTGTCCATCCCGACCAATCAGAGCTCTCCTGTGTCCATCCCGACCAATCAGAGCTCTCCTGTGTCCATCCAGACCAATCAGAGCTCTCCTGTGTCCATCCCGACCAATCAGAAACCCCCAAAGTCTACACCGACAAAACCCAAGCGAGCTGCGCCCAAAAGAAGAAAAACGATTTCTGTGACCAATCAGAAGCCTCCTGGTTGTGAGGGTGAGATTGTGATTAATCAGAAGACTGGCCAATCACAACCAACCTCTGCCCCTACAAAGGACCAATCAGAGCCAAACTCTGCCCCTACAAAGGACCAATCAGAGCCCTCCTCCTCTGGTGTGATGGACCAATCAGAGCCCTCCTCGTCTGCTGTGATGGACCAATCAGAGCCCTCCTCCTCTGCTGTGATGGACCAATCAGAGCCCTCCTCCTCTGCTGTGATGATGGACCAATCAGATACAGCATCCTCTGAGGCTCCCCAGGACTCACTTTCCCAGAATCCTCGGCGTCTGCCTCAGAAATGTCCCCAATGTGGGAAGTGCTTCTTCTACCGCAACCAGGTAAAAACCACATCTGAATCTTGACTAAACCTGATCTAAACCCAGTCTAAAACAAAACCAGGACTAAACCAGGACTTGCTATCCACAGGTTCTCAAACACCTGGAGAGCAACCGCACGTGTTCTGTGGCCTCTCGTCCAATCAGAACGCTGCGTTGTTTCCAGTGCCCCGCCTCCTTTGAGACCAAAACCGACCTGCTGACTCACCTGAGGACTCACCGAGCCCAGCTCCCGGTCCTGGGCCAGTCCAGAGTTCAGACCAAGAACAAGACTGGGACTGGACCCAAGACTGGGCTCAGAGCCAGGATGGGTGGCACCCAGCAGGGGGCAGCACAGGAGGCCGCACAGGTAAGACACAAATTCAAAGGTTTGATTGAGAATTCACTATCCAGTCTGGTGCCACCTAGTGCCTCCGCTCAATTTCATTTCTTTCTGGCGACTAGATCAGGAATCAGAAAACACTAGACAGCTCGCAAAAACCCCAGAAGAATGAGTCCGGGCACCAGCCAATCAGCGAAGAGACAGACATTCTTAGTTGTCAAAGATTCCCGAGATCGAGGATTTAAAGCCGGAACAAAGAGAATGTTTGGTGAATTTTATCAAGGGGAAAGATGTTATTGTTCTTCTTCCTGCGGGATTTGGGAAAAGCTTAATACACCAGTTAGACCTGTTAGCAGCGCATTACATACGTCACGACCAAACAGCATCAATTGGTTAAGTGATAAAAAGTACCCGCCTACCATCGAGCGAACAAATCCTAATGCTGCGAGGTCACACGGTTTCTACGAAGTGAAACTGGCTGAATCAGACTAAGAATTCACTGCAGTAGCAGCAGGAATATTATGTTAAATATTATATTGTGTCTGGGCACGACCTGGTTTGTACCTGGTGTTTGGTAACTCAGTTCAGAGGGCGTGTGTGTGGTGCAGGTGAGAGTGTGTTTGAGTGTGTGTGGTGCAGGTGAGAGTGTGTTTGAGTGTGTGTGGTGCAGGTGAGAGTGTGTTTGAGTGTGTGTGGTGCAGGTGAGAGTGTGTTTGAGTGTGTGTGGTGCAGGTGAGAGTGTGTTTGAGTGTGTGTGGTGCAGGTGAGAGTGTGTTTGAGTGTGTGTGGTGCAGGTGTGTGTGTGTGTGGTGCAGGTGAGTGACAGGTGTGTTTTTGTGCAGGAGCGTCAGGTGCGTCGTTCATTCAGCTGTTCGCTCTGCGATGAAAGCTTCAAACACCAGGCTCTGCTCCTGACGCACCTGGACCTGCACGCGCTCAAGGGGGAGGAGCCACGCTACGACTGCCTCCACTGTGACCAGAGCTTCACAGGTAACCTCCACACACACCTGTACACACATACACACATTACACACACACCTGTACTCACATACACACATACAAACATACACACACATTACACACACACCTGTACACACCTGTACACACCTGCACACACCTGCACACACCTGCACGCACCTGTACACACCTGCACACAGGTGACATGTCTCTCTCTCGTCTTAGGCTCCACCCTCCTGCGCATACACCAGCGCTCTCACGTACCCCGCCCTTTTGTGTGTGACGTGTGTGGGCGGAGTTATGCGTCAGAGGTCGCTCTGACAGCGCACGCCAAACTCCACGGCGAGAAGCGTTTCCTGTGCCACACATGTGGGCGGGGCTTCGTGAGCCGCTTCGCTCTGCGGTCTCACGTGCGCACGCACACGGGAGAGCGCCCGTACACGTGCACGCTCTGTGGGCGGAGCTTCGCCTTCAGCGCCGGCCTTAAAGTCCATCTGCGACGCCACCTAGGGGACAAACCCTACACCTGCAGCGCCTGTGGAAAAGGTTTCCCCTCTGGAGGAGATCTGGCACGGACGCATACAGGTACAATACTACTACTACTACTACTACTACTACTACTACTACTACTACTACTACTACTACTACTACTAGTACTACTACTACTACTACTACTACTACTACTACTACTACTACTACTACTACTACTTACTACTACTACTACTACTACTACTACTACTACTACTACTACTACTACTACTACTACTACTACTACTACTACTACTACTACTACTACTACTACTACTACTACTACTACTACTACTACTACTAGTACTACTACTACTACTACTACTACTACTACTACTACTACTACTACTAGTACTACTACTACTACTACTACTACTACTAGCTACTACTACTACTACTACTACTACTACTACTACTACTACTACTACTACTACTACTACTACTACTACTACTACTAGTACTACTACTACTACTAGTACTACTACTACTACTACTACTACTAGTACTACTACTACTACTACTACTACTACTACTACTACTACTACTAGTACTACTACTACTACTACTAGTACTACTACTACTACTAGTACTACTACTACTACTACTACTGGTACTACTACTGCTACTACTAGTACTACTAGTACTAGTACTAGTACTACTACTACTACTAGTACTACTACTACTACTACTAGTACTAGTACTACTACTACTAGTACTACTAGTACTAGTACTACTACTACTACTAGACCCTCTGTAGACCGGTTGTGATCCGTCTGAGTCTGTTTCAGGGGAGCGGCCGTACCTTTGTCGAGAGTGCGGAAAGAGGTTTGCCGTGTCGACTCAACTGAGAGCTCACCGCCGCACGCACACAGGTGAGGTCAGAGGTTACCGCCGCACGCACACAGGTGAGGTCAGAGGTCACACAGGTGAGGTCAGAGGTCGTGGAGTCGTTGCACATTAACTGTTATTCGTGTTGTTTTTGTTGTTCTTGTCGTTTCTGTTCTTGTACTAACCAAAGCCGTCAGGGTCTCAGGATTTGTGCAGCTCCTCAGGGGTTTGTCTGTAGAAATCCCACATGGAGACGTGGTGCTGTGTTGTATTAGATGTTTGGTAACACTCACCCACGAACCAGCTCTGTTCCACCTTGTGATGTCGTGAAGTGGTAGTTTCCCAGTGAACAGCTTCTTTTCCCTTTAGTTCAGTCGAGATCGGCGACTCCAGGACTGAAATGATCCAGATGATTCTAGTGAAGGTGTGTGGAGTTTAAAAACACAGTGGAGCACTTCCTGTATCACCACATGATGACATCACAAGGTGGAACAGAGTGTTTTCAGTTTTAGAGACAAACTCATTTTAAACGTGCAGGTTTGTGGGTTAAACATGTGAATGAAAGAAAACACAACTCCAGGTCTGTGTGTAACGAGGAAACAACATCAGAACAGAGCAGAGGATTATGGGACATTTAAAGGTCTAAAGAACGTCTGTAAACCAGTTACGATCCCTCTGTAGACCCCCTGTAAACCGGTTATGATCCCTCTGTAGACCCCCGTAAACAGGTTATGATCCTGTGTTTCAGGAGAGAAGCCCTGCGCTTGTCCAGAATGTGGGAAAAAGTTCAGTCGGAATTCTGAGCTAAAGCGCCACCTGCGGGTGCACTTCAACGTGCGCCCATTCCCCTGCCCCCAGTGCCCCAAAGCCTACACTTGCACCAACCACCTGAGGAGGCACCTGAGGACGCACCAGGACTGAACCAGGACTGAACCAGGACCGAACCAGGACCGAAACAGGACCAAACCTGCACGAGCCACCTAAGGACGCACCTGAGAACACACCAGGACTGAATCGGGACTGAATTGGGACTGAACCAGGACTCCTTCTGGACTAACGTGTTTGTTGTTTAATGGTGTTCTGGTGTTTGAAGGTGCTGTTGGTCAATGCTAAACTGCACAAAATAGATTGAATTACCCATGGACCCCATGGACAAAATATCATGTGAATGTAAAAATGTATTTTTAGAATAAACTTAAACATGAAAATATATTTGTGTTTGTAGCAAAGCTGTTTATGAGGTGAGTCACCTGTACCCCCTGACTCCTCAAACCCCTGACCCCTCAAACTCCTGACCCCTCAAACCCCTGACCCCTCAAACCCCTGACCCTCCTCAAACCCCTGACTCCTCAAACCCCTGACCCTCCTCAAACTCCTGACCCCTCCTGACCCTCAAAACCCCTCAAACCCCTGACCCCTCAAACCCCTGACCCCTCAAACCCTGACCCTCAAACCCCTGACCCTCAAACCCCTGACCCTCAAAACCCCTCAAACCCTGACCCCTCAAAAACCCCTGACCCCTCAAACCCTGACCCCTCAAACTCCTGACCCCTCAAAACCCCTGACCCCTCAAACCCCTGACCCCTCAAACCCCTGACCCCTCAAACCCCTGACCCCTCAAACCCATCCATCCATTTTCTTCCGCTTTATCCAGGGCTGGGTCGTGGAGGCAGCAGTCTAAGCAGGGACTCCCAGACTTCCCTTTCTACTTGCTCCAGCTCCTCCGGGGGGACTCCAAGGTGTTCCCAGACCAGCCCAGAGACTCCAGCGTGTCCTGGGTCTTCCCCGGGGCCTCCTCCCAGTGGGACATGCCCAGGAAGCATCCCGGACAGATGCCCAAGCCTCACCTGGCTCCTCTCGATGTGAAGGAGCAGCGGCTCTACTGCCCGTGTGATTGAGCTCATTTCAGCCGCTTGTGTCAGCGATTTCGTCCTTTCGGTCATTACCCAGAGCTCATGACCAGAGGTGAGGAATGGAGATTGACTGTAAATCGAGAGCTTCGCCTTTTGACTCAGCTCCCTCTTCACCCCAACGGATCGATACAGTGAACGCACCCTCCGGTCCCCTTTCTTAAACAGTGGGACCACCATCCCGGTCTGCCAGTTAAAATGTACTGTCCCCGACCACCGCGCGATGTTGCAGAGGCGTGTCAGCCAAGACCCACAACATCCAGAGACTTAAGGTACTCAGGACGAATCTCATCCACCCCCAGAACCGCCAAGGAGCTTTAACCACCTCAGTGACTTCAGCCAGGGTGATGGATGAGTCCACCTCTGGGTCCCCAGTCTCGGTTTCCTCCTCGGAAGACGTGATGGTGGGATTGAAGAGATCCTCAAAGTTTTTCTTCCACCGCCCGACAACGTCCCCAGTTGAGGTCAACCCAACAGAACCTCTGAGACATGATGATATCTGGCTCCATTAGACGCTCCAGGTTCCTCCTCAGACTCTACAGGAGCTCAGTGATGCCCTCACAGACCTGAAAACATCTCACAAGAAGAACACCCCACAAGAACAACACCCCACAAGACTCCAGCTGTCAGAGGCTCCAGTGAGCCAAACATGAACACGAGTCGAGCACGAGTCGAGCACGAGTCGAGCACGAGTCGAGCACGAGTCGAGCACGAGTCGAGCACGAGGAGCCGCACAAGAGACATTTGGAGTCACACATTCGACATTTATCTAAATGTCTGAGCCGCGTCGTTTTTTCACTTTGATGAAAATGAAGCGTCTGTGGCTAAACGTTGTATTTCCATTAAGAGGAGCATCTGTCTGTTCCGTATTTTATATTTTTTGGTGTTTGGACATTTCACCGGGTCATGTGACCTGAGCCTCTGTCGTCTGTGACATCATCAGCCTCTAATCCTCCGTAAACTCGTCAAACACTTAAAGGATTAACCTGGAACTTTGCTCCTGTGACACCCCCCCCACCTCCCCGAGCAACAACTCACACACACACACACACAACACACATGCACACACACGCATAACACACAGACACTTACACGCACACACCACACAGAGAGAGAGATAAACACATGAAACACACATTTGTGTTGTTGTCGCCTCATTTTAATGTTGATTTGGACCCACAACAAAACACAGACATTTTACAACAGCTACAACCTTCAACAAACCAGAGACCAGACCAGGGACTAGACCAGACCTAGACCAGACCAGGGACTAGACCAGACCAGGGACTAGACCAGACCAGGGACTAGACCAGGGTCCAGAGCAAGGACTAAACTGGAACCCAGACTCTGGGACCTGTAAGTCCTCTGGTCTGGGCTTTGTTAGACCAGGGTCCAGGCCAAACGAGACCATGGACCCAGGTCTTGGGTCTTGGCTCAGACTGTGGACGCCTCAGCACCAGCAGGTCTGTGCTGTAGGAGTCCACCGGGGGGCACCGTCTCTGCTGTGCTGGGCTCTGACAGGCCGAGAGTGGAAGCGCTTTTGGCAAGTCTGAGGTTTTTTGAAGCTACATTCTGTTAAAATGACTTTCCTCTCTGTAATCCTGTTCTAATGTGAGGAAATGTCCCACAATGGGGCTTTAACCCTGTTTTAATGTCGTGTCCACTCAGACACGTCCCTGCGGTTGTTTCATTCACAAGTCTCACCTGTCACTGCTGCCCTCTGCTGGTACATGTCAGTCAGTGTCATCTACCAAGCTCCTCAGGGTTTTTAAAGTCCATTTTTCCTTGACACTTTCTGACATTTTCTGACACTTTCTGACATTTTCTGACACTTTCTGACACTAGCTGCCTTTGTTTTAGCTTGATTCACTTTAGTGATTTTTAGCTTATTTTAGCCGCTTCACTCCTCAGTGCACCAGCAGACCAGCCCGACCGCCCTCTGCTGGCGACGTTCACACACATTTCCAGGTTAAACTAGGTTAAATCCAAAGGCGGAAGTGTTTAAATATAATATCTGTCTGGACTATAAACACTATGTACACAGAGGGTTTTTATCATGATTAAAATTCGCTATAGACTCTGTACAGTTTAAAAACATATTTACAGCAGGCCTCTCCTGTGATTGGCTGTTGGGGAGGGTTAGGGCGTGGCTCAGTCCTTATATGGGCGCGGGGGCGGGCTCAGGCGGCCGGTGGCTCCTCCCCCTCTGTCACCTGATTGGGTCGGATCAGAGCCTTGGCTTTGGCGCAGGCCTCGCAGATCGTTTCCTTGACGCTCTTTTCTAGCAGCCAGCCCTCGCTCTCGCACTCGGGGTTCTCCGGGTCGGACATGGACTCCAGCGACGTCGTCAGGTACTTCAGCCCAGCCATGTCTGCGCCCTGGAGAGGAAAAGAGCGTTACCACGGTGACCAGACGTCCCTGTTTCCCCGGGACAGTCCCAGTTTTGAACCTGTGTCCCCTGTCCCAGCAGATTTAGACAAAACCACTGATTTGTCCCAGTTTTAGAAAAGAATTGTCCCAGGTTATTAGTTTCTTTTTTCAGACCAAGAGTTTGTTTTCCTCCTGATAGTTTGTCCTGCTTCCTGTGCTCTTCCTTAGAGTCTCGTGATGTTGTTGTGATGTGTTACTCAGTTGATTTAAACAGGTTTTGGAGCTGTCTTCCCACCAGTGGAGGCAGGACGACAGCGCCACCTGCAGTCCCACTTCCTCAGGACAGAATCCCAGGTGTGTGAGAGTAAAGAAGCCCCTCGTCCCAGTTTATCGTCCCGTGGGCACATTTCTGTATTTCGATTGCCTCTTTAATCCAGTAGTAATCCAGAGGCATCTGATTGGTCTGTTATTAATGTGTCATGTCACGCTGAAACTGATCTTTGCTTTCTCTGAACTCACTGCAGATTAGCCCAGAATAGTCTGAGCTCAGGTGAGGCTCAAACAGCCAATCACAGCGCAGAACGAGGGACTACAGTAGGACTAGAACTACAGCGTGACTACAGCGGGACTACAGAGGGACTACAGCGGGACTACAGAGGGACTAGAACAGGACTACAGTGGGGCTACAGCAGGACTACAGCGGGACTTTTGGAGGGACAAAAGTCACCGTGGCCTAAGTTTAGCTTGAGGTGTTGAGCAGAGTCTTGACCCGGATCCAGGACTTAAATGGTTTAGAGCCTTGGCCCACATAAACATAATCCTGTTTATGCCAGGCTGGAGGTTTGGGGAAGTACAGTTGAGACAGGGTCCTGGACCGGTCCTGGTCCAGTTCTGGTTCAGTCTGGTCCTAGGCCAGTCCTAGTTTAGTCTGGTCCTGGTCCAGTCCTAGTTTAGTCTGGTCCTGGTTTAGTCCAGTCCTGGTTCAGAGCTGTAAATGTTTAGCCTCAGATTCATATGAAATATATATTATTTTTTTTTGGTGTTTTACAATGCTCTTAAATGCAGCAGCTGCAGTTCAGTCTGGTCCTGGTGTGGTCCTGGTGTGGTCCTGGTGTGGTCCTGGTGTGGTCCTGGTGTGGTCCTGGGTTTATAATTTGAACACACTGAAGATGAACTCTGATGTGAAGTCTTGCTCATAATCCGATCATTGATCCACTAACGAGCCTGATCCAGGTCAATGTTCCACAGGGGCACTGATCGCCATGGCAACAGAGTCATTATGGGACTTCTCCACTCAGTGACCTCATCCCTCTGAAGACCAGCCTCAGGTCTGAGCTCAGGACCCACAAAACCTTTAAACCTCAGGTCCTGGAGCAGCACTGATGATCAGACTCATACTAGACCCTCACTTCCTTATAACAGAGCTCGTTATAACAGAGCTCGTTATAACAGGCCTCGTTATAACAGAGCTCGTTATAACAGAGCTCGTTATAACAGGCCTCGTTATAACAGAGCTCGTTATAACAGACTCGTTATAACAGGCCTCGTTATAACAGGCCTCGTTACCTCGTTAACAGAGCCTCGTTATAACAGATAACAGGCCTCGTTATAACAGAGCTCGTTATAACAGGCCTCGTTATAACAGAGCTCGTTATAACAGGCCTCGTTATAACAGGCCTCGTTATAACAGGCCTCGTATAACAGAGCTCGTTATAAACAGGCCTCGTTATAACAGCCTCGTTATAACAGGCTCGTTATAACAGAGCTCACTCGTATAACAGCCTCGTTATACAGAGCCTCGTTATAACAGCTCGTATAACCTCGTTATAACAGAGCTCGTTATAACAGCTCGTTATCGTTATAAAGAGCTCAGCCTCGTTATAACAGGCCTCGTTATAACAGGCCTCGTTATAACGAGCTCGTTATAACAGAGCTCGTTATAACAGAGCTCGTTATAACAGGCCTCGTTATAACAGCCTCGTTATAACAGGCTCGTTATAACAGAGCTCGTTATAACAGGCGTTATCGTTATAACAGAGCTCGTTATAACAGCTCGTTATAACGTTATAACAGAGCTCGTTATAACAGCGTTATAACGCTTATAACAGGCCTCGTTATAACAGAGCTCGTTATAACATAAACAGGCCTTGTTATAACAGAGCTCGTTATAACAGCTCGTTATAACATAACAGAGCTCGTTATAACAGGCCTTGTTATAACAGAGTCGTTATAACAGGCCTCGTTATAACATAACAGGCTCGTTATAACAGGCCTCGTTATAACAGAGCTCGTTATAACAGGCCTCGTTATAACAGGCCTCGTTATAACAGGCCTCGTTATAACAGGCCTTGTTATAAAAGAGCTCGTCTCACATGTATGTGTTTGTGTTTGTGTAGGGTCTAGTATAACCCCTTTAAGCCCCGTCTCACCCTGTAGAAGGGTTAGTGTGTAGGTGTAGTAAGGTGTAGGGTGTAGAGTTAGAGTGTAGGGTGTAGGAGTAGATGTAGGGTGTAAGGTTAGGGTGTAGGGTGGTGGGTTAGAGTGTAGGGTGTAGAGTTAGAGTGTAGGGTGTAGAGTTAGAGTGTAGGGTGTAGAGTTAGAGTGTAGGGTGTAGAGTTAGAGTGTAGGGTGTAGAGTGTAGGGTGTAGAGTTAGAGTGTAGGGTGTAGAGTTAGAGTGTAGGGTGTACTGTGAGGGTGTAGGCTCTAGTATAACCCTTTTAGGCGTCTCTCTGCAGCAGGATGTGGGTCAGACTTATTGGAGATGTTCTCACCTCCAGGAGGATGGTGAAGATGATCAGAGCTCCGATGCTGCTCATCATGGAGCTGAAGTAGGAGAAGAGCGCCTCCCTGCAGCCGCGGGTCCAGATGTTCAGCTCCTCCGTGCGCAGGTCGTAGTCGTAGTGGGCGGAGTTATTGGTCAGGTGGTGTTGGATGCAGGGTCTGGGGGAGCCGGGGTTACAACAGCTGAACGGAACCGAGTCCATCAGGAACTTCCCCTCCACATTACTCAGAACACGGCTGTGACACACAGGAAAAAAACACATGAAGTACACAGGAAAAACACATGAAATACACATGAAGTACACTGGAAAAACACATGAAATACACATGAAGTACACTGGAAAAACACATGAAATACACATAAAGTACACTGGAAAAACACATGAAATACACAGGAAGTACACTGGAAAACTATAGAAAAAACACATGATAAAACAGGATGTGATTCAAAACACTGCTGTAAAACAGGAAAAACTCCAGTGTCTCTGCACACACATCAGGAAGTAACAGAATCAAAATCTGAAGTAAAATTGAGTTTCACTTGTAACAGTGACGTTAAACTCAATGAAAACACAAAATAAAGGTTTATATTTAAACGCACAAAACTAAACTCAAGTGACATAAAACTACTGTTCCAGTCGACGTCGATCTTCTTCATTTCATTAAATCCATTTGAGGTGAATTCACTGTTAAGTGTAGTAAAGGTTAAAGACCATGTGGGGGCGCTCTACAGCCGCTCAGTGAACACGCTCAAACTCATGGCTATAAAAACAGAGTTGGTTTAGAATTTGCGCAAATGGACTTAAAACAGCAGCATCGCTTCTATGATTTCTATGGGGGGACCCCTTTGTTAACATGTACTAACATATATTAATATGTATTAACATGTTAATACATGTATTAACGTGTATTAACATGTGTTAGCGTGCATAGCATGTTAGCGTGCAGTGTCATCCGCTCTTGCAGATTATGGACTTAACGTAGAAACTTTTACCTTTAAATCCTCCTGATCCTCCTGTGACCGCAGCAAACCTGACTCACTCTGCTCGGCCAGCGGGGGGCGCTACAGCTCACATCCCTCTCAAACGCCCTACACCTTTTCATAACAGCCGGAAGTGCCGTAATGTCGGGTAAATGTCACTCCGGTTTAATGTTTTCAGTGTAAATGTGTGTGTGTAAGTGTGTGTGTAAATGTGTGTGTAAATGTGTGTATAAATGTATGTCGTATTCTCCAGCAGTTTCATAAATCTGCTCCATCACCAAATCTTCAACCAACAAACTCCACAAAGGATAAACATTCTAACATGAACAATTTATCCACAACGATCAAGAGAAGAAAGACCAAAATGTTATGATCCTAGAGACATTTAAACATCACAAATCTGTGTCTGTGCAAATCTCCACATCATCAAATCCATTCTGAATTGTAATAGTAGAATGAGTCTGAACAAGGTCCTTCTGTTTTATTCATGATCATAACATGAGTTCAGTTAAGTCGCTGTTTTCCTTCACGTTTTCCTCTTTCTTCCCTTGATAGTTGTGAATAACACACACATTTACACAGAAAAACATTAACCAGAAGTAACGTTTACCTAACAGCCTGGCACTTCCGGCCGTTGTGAAAAAAGATCTATTCTACCTAAATCTACCAACCAAAAGCCTCAACCCCAGACCCCAGACCCCTGACCGCAGACCAAAGCACATGTGCCAAACCTTAACCTGAAATAACAGATTCTCATAAAAAAAACAAAAAAACTCCGAGCCTCCAGAGTAGAGCCTGTTTCTCTGGGGTTTCTCTCTGGGGTCAGGTCCAATATCTGAACTAACCCTCCTCTGAATTGAGCAGTTTATTGGACGAAACTCCCCATCCCTGGATTCTAGTATCAAGCCCAACCTCCTTTAACCAGGACGATGGGACCTGGTTCAGACCTGATTCAGACCCGGTTCAGACCCTGTGTCATACTCACTCCTTCACTTGGTCGTTGCTCATGTCCAGGTAGCGGTTGCTGATCCACTGAACCTCAAACCAGTCTCTGAAGTTGTTGTTTCCGCAGCAACGGAACTCGATCTGGGTCATGTCCAGGGTTCTCTTCATGAAGCAGCGTCCCGGCGTGTCCGTGTCTTTGTAGAAGCGAATCCCGTTTTTCAGCCCCTCGGCCAGCGTCAGGTACACGGAGAACTGCATGAGGAAGCACAACAGCGCCACCACCAGGAGCGCGGCGCTGAAGGCCACGCAGCCTGTGAAGTACTGCTTCAGCATGGGCTTCCACTTGGCGAACTTCATGGGGTCGAGCGAGTCGTGACAAACTTTCCCTCCGAAGGCGTTGACGGCGCAGGTGACCAACCCCGTGAGGATCAGAAGGTTCGGTACGAGGTGGCTTTCATTGTTGTCCATCATCTCGCTCCTCTTCCTCAGTTCCACCTTGAAGAAGATGCCCAGGCTGAAGATGAGGATGCCCACCATCACAGACACCCAGTAGAGCATCCAGAGGCCCTGTGCCAGCTTCACCCGCTTTTGCAGGTTGAACTTGACCGGCATGAGCGGCATGGTGAGGGACGGGTGGAGAACCGGAGCAGAAAAGTTACTGAGAAGTCTTCACCCAAAGGTCAGAAGGTCCAGAGCAGGACCAAGGAGCTCAGCTGGAGATTAACAGAGAACAAGATTAAAGCCACGTCACGTCCATCACAGATTATCTGCTTTTAAACAATGAACAACACATCTGAACTTTCGGATGAGATTCAGAAGAAACATGTCTCGAGTCTTTTGTTTGAGGGTGAGGGTCTTTGGGGTGAAGGTCTTTGGACATTTCTTCTGCTTTTAGACGCGTCACTGTAGTTTTAAGTGCCTCTGTACAACACATCTGCCCCAGAAATGTCCAAATAATGTTTGGTAGTTTTTTTTAAATCACAAAATCTAATTTAATTCTAGTAAAAAGAGTTTATTCCACGATCAGTGAGATTTCTAACACCAATGATCGATCTTCATTTCGCAAAACGCACAAGTGTCGGTCAACGGTACAATCACATTCTGTAATCACTACTCTGCGCCCGTTGCCATAGCAACAGGTAAACTAAATCTCAGGGCGTCGGGACGAGCTTCAGCTAAAACTCAAGAACTCATTTACAGTGAACAGGATTTTCACTTTCAGTTTGAGGCGGTGGCAACAGCAGTTTTAACACACTCGAATAATTAACGCTTATTTTAATAGAACTTCCTCTGTGCCTGCTGCTGCGCCCGCTCCCCCTGCGCCCGCTCCCCCTGCGCCCTGTGCCCTCCTGGGGGACTCACCGAGGCCTCGTCCAGAGCAGAATCAGCAGTGGTTCCACGGTCCTGGGACGGCTCTGAGTGTGAGAGAGTGCCCCATGGCCCCAAACGCAGAAGAGTGGGAGGAGGTGGTGGAGGTGGTGGAGGTGGACTCGTTGGAGCTGGTGGACCTGATGGAGGTGGACTCTTTGGAGGTTGTGGATCACAGCGTCCTTGTGTGAACGTTCTACACAATAAACACGACGTTCTGCAGAAGAACTGAGCTTCGGCCTGAGTCCTGATCCACTTACTCCTGATCCTCATTATCTCTAATGGGTTTGACTTAAGACTTCCTCTGACTCCTCCTCCCAGCTGACCTCCTCCTCTGACTCCTCCTCCTCTGACCTGGTCTTTTCCAGTCCAGTTGTGCATGTTTTGTTTCTTACAGTGAGGTGAGAGTGCTCTCCACATGGTCAGATGGTTGGAGGAAAAGGAGGTGTTTACACTGGGTTTTTTTGCACATTTTTTTCCACAGTTGGTTTTTAATTACAAACAGTCGAATCATCTTGAGCCTTTGTGGAGATCTGATGGAGCTCTGAGATGTTTCTGTACAACTGCAGGATTTTAAACTTTGAGCTGTGACGTCTTCAGATTGAACCAAACAAACACAAAAACTACAAAAGGACGAGACGTTTATTTCACTTTTTACAAAACACAATTCATCAAAAACAGTTAAAGTTTAGTCCTGGTTTAGGTCCTGGGTTAGATCCTACTTCAGTCCTGGTTTAGTCCTGGTTTAGTCCGGGTTTAGTCCTGGTTTAGTC